CAGATTAAACGTCAGCTCTAAGCTATACATGCCCCCCTTGACAGGCTGTCAGTGAGCTCCAAAATTAGCTACCCTAATGAAAATTTTCTCATTGAGATCCTTGCTGAGCATTCCCATCAGTAAGCTCAGGCAGTATTTGGCTGTTCTGAAAACCCTGCTCAGGTTCCTGAACATATGCCATGGCCAGATGGTGGATTCGGGAGGGCTCGCTCTGTTGCTCAGGTAGATGTCCACTGAAACAATGCTAGTGATGGAATCACAGAGAAAAAGCTTCCAGTTCCTCCCCTCAGTGGCTGACAGAATCTATCCAGAAGGTGGTTCAGGCCCTTTCCCTCCAGAAGTTCAGCAGTGATTCAGCACTGACCGTGACCCAGGAGGTCTCATCTCCCGCACCGGCGCAGGCAGCGCCTCGTACACAGGGCACATTTCCTGGCTGGTTTCCCTTCAGAAATCCTGAACAGGAAGCTTTCCAAAGAAGCCTCTGCAGGAACCCACTGGGATCTATGGGGGACACATTTGTTTTACGATTGTAAGATTCGTTTCCTTGCTGCAAGCAGAGCTCAGCACTTCTCGCAAACATCTAAAATGTCGCCCCAGTGGTCATCTTACACTCGGAGAGAACCTGGAACAGGTGTGGAGCTGTGCAGTGGCAGAGAGGTACTGAAAGGTGAGCCCTGTGATCTGCAAAATGATCACACGATGTGAAGCTGAGTTGCACAACAGTTGCCACAGAAATAACTTGTCAGCTGGGGTCATTCCCTGAAGAAGCTGCCCTTGGGCACACTCCCACCTACAATGCCACACAAGCAGATCACAGAGAGGGTCTCAGGGACTCTGGGCATGCTGAAAGAAATAAACTCTGGTGATCCCTGGCAGGGTATGGATATCTCAGTTCTTAACTTGCTTTAGTATTAAAAGATTTCTTTAATATACCTGTAGGGGGTTGCAAACACCACAGATTTAGTGGTATGGTGTAGACCACATGTGTAACAGCAATGGTTTTTTGCTTTTAAAATACCATGAAGAAGATTTGCCCGGGATTATTATTGATACTATTTATAATATTAAACTGGAGATTAAACCTTACTTCCTGTAATTAACCTGGATTAAACTAATGTTCAAGTTGCCAAAGGAGTGTAAGAGCTGCCATGTATAATGTGGATAGTTAAACTTTCTGTCACTCTGGATTCCTTTTCAGCTTGTTTCTGGAGATACATAGATATTTAACTATTATTTTCATACAAAGGCTAGGAAATACTTGATTTGGCCAGTTAATGGATTTCATGCATCACTTCCATGCTTTAGCCAGGTTAGATAAGACACTGAGGTGCCAGGGGAGAGAGATCCCCCGTGTGATCCACTGTGTGGCTGTGTAGATGATTTACCTCTAAAGGTAAAACCACCCTTCTCCTCTTTTTCAGTTGCATCTTGTTTGCCATATCACTTCTCTAATTTGCCTTTATCCCTTCAAATTCCCATTTTCTGCTTCCTGCTTCCAGCTGCTCCCATCGACATTACCACCTGAAAACAAAGGAATTCTGTATCCCATGAGCCCAGTCAATAAGGGCTGGTCCAGGAGTTCAACTCCCCCCCTGGTTTTGCCCATCCTCATCACAAGATTATCTAAATTAAGATCATACCAGTGTCGCTGCACGTGCCCTTGTTACCATGGGCTCCAAAAGACAACCAACAGCATCAGAGCTAACATAATTACAATCATAATTCCAAGGGACATGGTAATGGCCATGCTGTCCACAAGGGCAAAATCAGTATAATAATGACCACGCAAAATGATAATCAGTATATAAATCCCAACTAATGATCCACTAGGTGGGTTGATAAAACTGCCAGTGAACCCCAGTGGATTACCAGGAGGCATCTTCACAAGACAGAAGCTTTCATCAACAGGATATACCACGTTCTCCACATACAAATCCTCTGATTTGCTTGCACAGAAAGCAAATAGTTCAAACCATTCTTGTTTTTCCTGACTGGATGAGATTTCATGTGAAATGTTTCACTTCTATCTATCTAATTTGCGCTGTCAGTGAAGACTCCAAAGCAGCTCTTCCGTGGAGTGACAGCTTCATCCAAGCACGACTGGACAAACACTGCAGGTGCCACAACACACTGTAACAAACGCAGACCAACAAAGGCAAAGCTTCTGTTTAAAGTGGTTTGTAACAAAACTATATGGATAAAGAGATCAGCTAAATATTGGGAGGACCTAGAGCACCACTTTCAGCATCCTGCTCTGCTAACAGGAGATTTACCCTCACAATTGTGAGGCCAAGAGACCTCCAAGGCAGGTTGCTGAAATTATCCCCTCATCTAATACACACTCTTGCCAGGAACAGAAGCTTTTACACAGTGATATTTTGTGGGTTGGTATAAAGATACTCTTGTTACTTCAGTCTTACTTTAAGATTTCTATAACCATTGAGCAGTTACTGGATGGTCAAAACAGTTCCTCTTTAGCAAGTGAATAAATGAGATCCACCAGTCATCTACTGGTAGGGGTTTTTCATTCTTTCACCGAGACTTCTTCAGTTCCAGACTGATCAACCCCACTGCCCCAAAATACATATCATAAGGACAAGTAAAGCCATGTTTGAAGAAATACTTTCTATTAAACAGATAATATTGTCCCCACTAATACCTTATTTTCAATGAAAAGAAGCAGCGAACTGAGCAGGAAACCTCTGACCAAGAGGAAACATTTTAAGCCCTGCTATTCAAATAAAAACATCAGAGGTGGGAAACTGAAGCTACCTACAGCTCCAGTGACAAGGGATAGTGAAGCAGAAGGAAACTCCTCCCTCCAGAGGCCTGGATCACCCAGTGAGGAGACAGGACAGTTTCACATTTGCACACTAAGGCTAAGAATGCAGGCGATTTCCTCACCAATTCCTCACACAGCACATCTATAATGCTCCAACTACAGCCTTGCCCCTGTCCTCCTCAACACATCAAATTGCCCTTCTTGCAATCAGCACTTCCCCCAGGTGGAGGGGACAAATATGACACCCCACCACTCTCAAAATCCTCACTGGTGACTTTCCAGAAGAGTCCCTGCAGCCCAGTCTACACAGCACAGTTATCTGGAAACAAATACACAAATGGCATCCTCTGGAATGGAAATCTCACACTCAAAGAGTGCACACCAGCCCCCTCAAACACCAATTCATGCATTTTGAGGACACCACTCATGACAGTCACTCAGCACGGCAGAGAAATAAATGGTGTTTTTGAAAGAGCTGAGTGGATAAGAATAGCAAAAGAAATGGCTTTCATAAAAAGACAGACTCTCGTATGCATTGCTCTCAAACACCCTGCTAAAAACTACACTCAAAAAAAAAATCCTCAAAGAAGTGATCATGTAACCTAGTGATGTTAGCACATCCTACCCAGCTGTTAAAAACTTCCCCAGGAACATCCCTCCCAGTCTTTAAGCTGCCTCTCAACCTTGCTAAGTTTCTCCCAGAAGGAAGCCTTTTGTGCAGCCAATGAGAATAGAAAAAACAACCACACCTTGTCAAAGCCTTCCCTTCCCCCCTTCTGTAAGGACCTTCTCTCCCAGACACCAGCACTCCCAGGTCTCGTACTTGGGCTTACCTGGGAAGTCACATCCAGTGCAAGAGCCTCACCCCCACACCCCATAGCTGACCTCAAATAACCACAGACTGAACAGGCACACGCCACTGACACGGCACAAACACACCTTGCTGCTGCAAAAGCAGCTCTCACAAGGTCTCTGTTGCTCCTGATCCTGGAGGGTCACCTACGAACTTCCCTCCAGCCCCAAACCTAGGAATAAAAATTCCTAACGTTTCAGGACAGCGAGGCTGCTGCTCTGTCACACTATAACCTCCCACGCTCTCCACATTCTCCCCCCTCCACATCCCACAGGCTATAACTCTCTCTTTCTCAGCCTACATCTCATCTAGTCATTTAAACATGCCAGGAGACGTTACTTCTCCTTAATTTCTGCTTTCCTCCCAATTAGCATTCCCACACTGAACCTGACAGCTCCACTTCCTGTCAAAGACGAGCTGAGGGATTTTCTCCATTTGCAATCCATTCTTAAAAGCAAGCTGCCACTTTTAGGGCAGGCCTGAAGGTTTCCTGTGTGCCTGAAAGCTTTTCAAACTGCCCTGTTCGGCCTAATGCAAGACATCACCTCTGCACATGTCCTCAGACATCAGGGGCACAACAACACTGCTACGTTTTTGTACAGTTTAAAAATCAACTCATATTTACAGTCCAAGTAAACTTCTAGTCCTTACCACATCCTTAAACATGAATCCCTAAAGGCTGAAAGACACGTTGTTCTCTCCAAACAGCTATGACTGTGGAAACTGGAGAGAAATTTTCTGAGGCCACTGTGAAATTCTGGTTTCAAACTTAAACTCTCTACAAGTCATCACTATCCTCAGTCAAAGGTTTGAAAATAGAACAGAAAGTGCTCATTGCCGTTAGAGAGCAAGATAATGTTAGCAAGAAGCAGGAACTCTTCATGCTTAATGAGATAAAAACTGTTGCCCCAATCATCAGTCTTCCTTACCTAATCAGCCAGCCCCAACCTCTGACAGGAGAAGGAATCCCAGACGGAGAAAACAAGTATGGATCAAAACAACTTGACATTCAAATGTCTTCACTCTCAATTTTCTATCCACCATTACAACTAACTCTAATTGCCCTTGGTAAGTATTCCATGAGATACCATTTCAACACTCTTTTGTTCACCTTCTCCCTCTCAGAGTTGTTTTTGTAGCAACTAAGGCCCAAATCCTCAAACTCCTCAAATTCAGACCCATCACAGTCACAAACAAAGCAACAACATTATTTTCCCATTTAAGACAGAAAACATGTTTTAGAAAACACCTGAACCATTGCACGGGAGGCAAAAGCTCCGCTAAGCAGATACTTTCTAGTTGAAAGCTCGTCAGTGTGTCTGCATCCAACCCATCCTTGCTGTGAAAGATGACCTGCACTCTTACCATCGTGATTAGAATTTCCCAGGGTCCACGGCTCATCTGAGTCGAAGTGAGTGTCTCCTCCAATCCCTGGGCCAGGAAAGTAAGCGTGAGCCAGGAATCCACCTTCTCCATCAAACGGAGAACTGTCGCCATGGAAACCAGAAGCAAAAAATATCATAATATCTGCCTCCTTTCTGTCATTTTTAATTTCATGGTAAGGAACCTCTTCAAAGGTAAGTGGTGTCACTCTCTGCCAAACATCAAAGGCCTGTCTGATGGCTCTCCGTGTGTCGATCTCGCCAACCTTGGGGGTGTAGTTGTGCACACTGGGAAATTAAAAAAAAAGGGACACTTAAATTCGGAGACTTATTATCAGTATACAGGTCTCCCTTTCCAAAGGGTCTTTATTTTTTCCAGGCAGTAGTTTGTGCATGCAAAGTTTTGCTGTTACAAAGAAAGTTACCAACAAAACCAGGGTCCCAATTTGAAGCCTACACTTATTCATAAAAATCTTCCTAATGCCTTGGTTGATTTTGTATTACTTCCTAAAAACCTGACAACCTTTCCAATCTGGGTGTAGGCAGCTGAGCAACCTAGTTTAAAAATGCAAATTACTTCAGATTTTGTCTGAAATTATCATGCTAGAATGGAATCCAGTACACGAAAAAAAGTGACCACTAAAATTCTTTCTGAGAAACAAACCTTTAAATTATGCTTACATGAGCTGCTTCGTTCTCAGGACTACTCAAAATATTTTAGAGCTCACAGGAGTGATGGACCTGCCAGATTTGTGCAGCTCAGTCCATGACAGGTGGTGATACAGAGTTCGGGGAGGGTAAGGGGCATTTAAGTGCATATAAATTTCCCATAATTATAAACTTTAGTTCAAAAACCGCTGTTCATGGGGGGTTTTGTGTGTGTGCATGTAACAGACTCATGATCTATTAAACTTGGCTTGGGGAATATGAAATATCTGTGTCATGGAAGCAATTTTCAGTCTTTGATTGAGCTGGGTGTCCCTTTACAATTTGAGTTAAATTAGTGATTATTGGTGGAAGCTTTGAAGTAGTCCCCAGAACCAGTCCCTCCTCCTGGTCTCTGCAGTTCCTCACTGTTACTTGAAGAATCCTCCTCCTCCTCCTCCTTTCTCAGAATTCTTGGCAGAAGCACCAGAGAGCACCAGTCCCTAATTCCTTCCCTTTACACCATCATATCTCTTCCTACTCATTCTGGCACCTTCCCCATGCTGGTCACTCACATTTCTACCTCTCCATCACAGACTTTCTTTCTGTCTTAGTCTTGCTCACCTATATCACAGGATATTCTGAGCTGGAAGGGACCCACAAGGATCATCACATCCTCTCCTTAATGATTACCTTCCTAACTTTCACTCCTTTGCAAACTCCTTTCCCCGTCCAAAACATTTAAATGGCTGTAATTTCAACTAGAATGGGGGGAGGGGGTTAATTTTGACTTGAAGTGACATTCTTATTGTCAGAAACTTCCATTTGCATCATTCAGCAATGATTGCCTTTCAAAAGCTCCCAGCCTGGCTGACTCAGAGCACTTCTCTGGGAAACAGCTATCCCCACAGAGCCCTCATTTGACACCTGCAGCTCACCCCAGCGTATCTCCTCAGCAGGCCTAAGCCTGGACAAAAGCAAGAGCTCTATTTCAGCAGCAGAAGTAAAACCTCTGCAAAAATACATATTCAGTAAAAAGTTGCAAATCAGCAGAGAAGGAAGCACCTCGACTTCAGACAATGATGTTCTTTCTGCTTTAATGGTTTGTTAGAGATCACACATGATCTAAAGGCTAGAGCCTTGGATTTCAAATGGAACAGAAAGAGGTTGACTAAGATTTTCCTGCTAAAATCACACAATTGGTGGCTGGGATTTAAGTGCCTTCACTGATTAGTTATTTTCTAATTGATAAGAGACTCTTCAGTTACTCCAGTGCCCTGACAGTATTCCCCTGCACCACGTTCTGAGAATGAAAGCCTTAACCAGGCATCACAGGCAGGATCCTGTTTTAATTTAAAAGTATTTACAAAATTTGCATCCCAAACAAGTCCAGACCATTTTTCCCCATAAGACAAGGGGCAGGGAGGGGGCTGTACCTGTAGGTTATATGCTTCTGCCTCCACTTCTGGCCGGTGAGCGCATAGCGCTTTTTCCTCCGGCTGCGGCGTAGGTGGGGATGGTCTGGAACTCCACATCGAGGCTTCTTCATCCACCTGGAAGGGGAAAAAAGGCAAGCTAATAAAGAATCCAAAAAAGAGATTCCAAAGAACTCAGGGGGTGACTGGAAGACCTCTGAGGGTTGGCCAGCGCAGACCCCAAGAAGGGTTCAGTCCTCCCTCTCTCGGGTTTACCCTCTTTGCACAGAGCTGTGCACCCCATCTCTGCTGGCAATCCACACCTCAGCAGAGCAAAAAGACTTCATTTTTCCTTTTGGAATCACAGATACCAGATCATGTAACCTCTATGCTTGACAAGAGCTTAATGATGATAATGCCACAAGAGACAAAATCACAGGTGTGTGTGCACTGGGATCGAACTCACCCATCACCTACTTGATCCACTCTCCATTTGCTGAAGTGCTCCCATGCCAAGGAAAATAAATCCAGTCCCTAACTCACTAGATAAAACTGAACAAGTGCAAACACAACCCTCACAGACAGTGACTGAGGTTTTAACAACCAGAACAGATCACTCCAGTCTCTGGGTCACACACACCAAATTCCACGAGGTCCTTCCCGTGACCCCTGACTCCTGATGTCACTCATGATGTAGGAAACTCTTGCCTCTATGGCCAAGTGAGCTGGAAGAGCAAAGGATGTTGTCCCAAGCACTGCCATCAGAGAAGCCCAGCCTCCCTCTCTAACTCCTTTACCTCCAGCCTGCACAGATCTTTTGTTTATTTCTTGCCCCAGCTTGGAGGTGGTCAAACACTGTCACAGGTTGCCCAGGGAAGTGGCAGAGTCTCCATCCTTGGAGATATTCAAAACCCAACTGGACATGGTCCTGGGCAACCTGTTCTAGCTGTCCCGGTATGAGCAAGGGTTTGGAGTAGGTGGTCTCAAGAAGTTCCTTCCAACAGAAATGATTCTCAGAAAAGGAGAAACAGACTGTTCCTCAAAATCCTGACCCGCTTGCTGGTGTGGGCACGCTCCAGAGAAGTCAGAAGTGGCACAGAGAGGAACAGATCTGCCCATCACTGCATATGGCTGCTGGGGAAAAAGGAGACAAGGACAGAAAGAGAGGAACTACAGGTACTGGTCTCCAAAGGTCCCCAGCCACATTCTTCAGGATTTCACAGCCCAGCACAGCAGAGCAGAGCCCAGGAATAATACAAGCACATGGCCACAGCCTCCCAGCAGACTGGCACTGCCCTCAGCCACTGGAACTCTTCAGGCATTTGATCCACTTACTCTGACGGCAAAGACAAGTGCCCACTGTGACACAAAGCCCTTAAGAACACACTGCAGGACGTGCCACTGCCTCGTCACACGTGAGAAGAGCACCGCAGCCAACTCCGGCCCATTTCTCAACCTGGACACCAAATTCTCTCCCTCCTCCTCAGTAAGGCTTCTCTCACATCCCTGGCCACCTGGGGGACAACTTTTGGCCTCCAAATGCAGACACTCCTCCACCAACTACAGCCAGCACACGGCAAGTAATCCATGTGTGCCCACATGCTTGTGCCCAAACAAAGCACAGCTTATCCATCGGAAAATATTAACCCCACACCTTCAGGGAAGGGAGCATCTCCCATCACCAGTAGAAGGTTTATCAGACTTCTTTCCAGGACACCCTTTAAATTAAAACCAAGCAGACAGACACTCGTACAGCCCCGCCAGAACATTCTTCCACAGCACACACACACAGAGCCCAGTCCAGGCAGCCCCACAGCTGCCCCTTCCCGATTCCACTTCCTCTATGTAACAACTCCGGGGGTTCTCAATTTCAGTGCAGTCATCTGTCATCTTCTCCCCACCAAGAACAGAGCAAATGAGAGTTGTTATACATATTGCACTGTACCTGACAAGAACCCAAGCTGTGCATATAATGCTGGCACAGATCTTCCCCACTTACATCACCTTACATTTATCAGCAATGTACGTCTTTCAGAAATCCAAGCAACCTGTGGAAATCAGAGCTGTCTTGCCCACACAACTGCTGCCACCTTCAAAGAAAAGCAGTACATCTAAGATTTGCTTTTAGAAAAGCCATATCAATTCAACCTCAACACGCTGTATTTTTCCAAGTGTCCTTTATTTGTGTTGTTTTGCATTGCTTCCAGCACTTTGCTGGAGAGATCTCAGGCTTAGTGTCACCTGTGTTCTCCTAGATATTTCCTGAATTTTCCTGCTTTTTTTTTGTTTAAACTCCAGTCATATGATATGGCACCACATTTTTTGCATAACCTTACACAAGCCACAGTGCGAACTCAGTTTTCACCTCTTGAGCTTCATGAGAACGCCAGCACTCTGAACATCAGCATCAGCAGGCCCTGATTACAGTCAGAAAATTACCTTCTGTTTTACCTTCACTAGTATCATCCAGAAGACAAAAAATTACCAGAAGAGAGCTACCAAACAGACATGGATGTGTAGGGAACTCACAGGGGCAGTGCTGGCTATGCTGACACACCAGCAGTGCCTCACACCTGAGCACGCTTCCTGGAGGATCATCAGCTGCCCCTTCCCAACACCTGAAAGAAAGTTAATTCCTTCCAAAACAGCAAATTCCCTGCCCCTGTGCCAGCTCCAGGTACAGGCACAGGGCAGGGGCTGTTGCAGAGGAATCCAACACCACCACCCAGGGCTTTGAGGGCCTCTTGAGCCAACACTCCCAAAGCAGAGCTGCCCAAAGACTCCCGATGTCCCCACTGCCCAACTCCTCTTTCAACCTCGTTCTACTTAGGCCTCTCTGAACCCCCATATTCTACCACAGTTTGTTCCAGAGCTGATACAGCCTTGATGAAAAGCAAGTAACAAAGCCCAGGTAACCTGATCAGAGCTCAGCACTACCCAAGCTGTCAACTGCCTGAGCTAATGTCAAGCTGAGAATGTTTATCTGGATCAGTTCCCTGACTCAGCTTACCTCCCCAGACATATGGGCCCTGGTCTAATCACATGGGCCAGGGCACAAATGCAGCCATCCCTGCTCTTCTCAGCAGGGCAGGCCTCTGGCAAAATAATCACAAAGCTGTAGCTTGCTGCTGTTGATCATCTGTAGCTGAGCTTTATGACAGTCATTCCCTACTGAGCAGTTTGGATAACCCTTTCTGTGTTCCAGGGGAAATCATCGCATCACAAACAACAACAAAAGGCAATTACTTGAAGCAAGATTCAGATACTTATGGCTGCTTCCCCCTCCTTGCTTTTTGAAATGGGAACACCAGTAACACTGGATCATCAAAATTTATACTTGGCACTGTTTAGGCATAGACTACTGCATTCCTCCAGCTGCTTGGCATCAGAAAATAGGCAATTTCCAAAAGCACTGACAGCCAGTTCTTGTCCTGATACAGCTGCTTGCCCCAGTTCAGGCTCCAAGCCATCCACAAGACTCTCCTAAACAGAGGAAGCTGTCACTCTCAATTCCCTGCTCTTGAGCTGATGGAATTGCTATCCTTAAACAGCTGTGGTGCACCTCGAGGTGAGGGACCTACACACCGGGCTCAGGACAAAGCACAAGGCACTCCCAACACATGTAACACTATTCCTTGGTTCCCTTCAGAGCCGTGGGACTGACCATGACAAACACAGTAGTCACCACTTTTGGTTGGCACTCTATTGTGCCTTCTCTCCACGTGCTCCCAGGGCTTTATCCTTGCCCAGCTGCTCTGCAAATCTACAGTTCCCCTCCCCAGCTGCAGGCAGACAATGTTTGCTGAAGAGCTGGTTTCTGTATTCTCTCCTGCTTTCCTTACAGGAAGCTACATATCCTCAACATGCTACCTTCAAGATAGATCCTCTGCTGAGTGGACCCCCCACCCAACCTTCCTTCTGGGTGCCAAAAAGCATCACCAACGCTGGTGTTCCTTCCCATCTCCCACTGGCAGCACCTGCAAGGTGGCTTTCACACACTTGGGCACCAATCTTGGAGGAAAAAACCAGCTCAGGATTTGGGGGCATGTGGAGATGAAAAACTTTGGGTTTCTGTAGTAAGTGTCAACAGAATATGCAGAATTTGTTGCCTAACAAAGAAACCACAGAAAATAATAACTCTGCACTCTGATTCTTAAAGTCACTTTAAAGGGACAGAACTTATGACACTGATGGAAGTGACAGAAAAATTCACAACTGCAATCTTAAAACTTGTAACAAAGACTGAAATAACAGCTTAGCAAACGCCTGAGTAATTCCAAGCCCTGGAGGCAGCTGCCTTGTCAGCTCTTTTCCTTCTGCTCAGCTTCCACAACCAGGTCTGAGGAAGTGACAGCCCAACACAGCCCAGCCAGATGCCCCCCCCCAGTTCAACAGGCTCAGTGCTCACAGCAATCAATCAGGACCTCTTTTTCTGTTCACGCAGTTTCTAGGCAGGTACTCCCGCTCCACCCTGCCATACAACAGATGGACCTACTGACTCAAGGCAGATGGAGGCAGAGCAACCCAACATGCCTGCAAAGCACACCAGTGTTTGGCTGCAGCTGAGGTCTCAAGCCTTTGGAGACTCAAGTTTCAGAAGAGGGAACCATCTAGGTTTTTCACTCATCAGCCTTTGGGTGTTCATGCACCAATCAACCCCCTGTCCACGGATATAACCTCTAAAATGTGGGCAACACCTTCCTTTCCTCCAGAAAAACTTTCATTAACTAAAGCAGGGACTTCCACGTGCACCCCCATCACCCACAAGGCGGCAGAAGCAGCTCCCCTAACTTTCCAAACTAGCACCCCAATACTGCAGCCCCGTCTTCCCCCATCCCCTTCCAACTCATGACCATCCCAGCTGCAAACTTCTACACACCAACTGCACACACACAGCCTTGCTCGATGGCTTCAGCATTCACCTACAAACTTGCTAATGGCACAGAGATCTCGGGTGGAAAATCCCCACCTTTAAAAAGCATTTCATTTCCAGCTCATTGGAAAAGCAAACAGGATTTTCTCTAACCCTCAATGGAGAACAAGGGGCTTTTCCTGTGAGCTAAAGGAGGGAATGTTACGTTCACTGGAGAGGCACTCCCAGCCCAGGATGATCTCCTCCTGCCCAATTCACTCATTTCTTCTGGTTCTCCTCTTCTTGCAGCTTGGAAGGCATACAACCAAACCCCTTTGTACTTCACGCTATTTGGTTACTTTGTGCCCCTTTCTTTTGTGCTACCACGTCCCTTTTGCCAGCACAGTGCCCCAACAGGAGAGATGAAGAGCCAGGTAGAGTATGCTCTGAAAAAAAGGGTCTGCTAATGCAATAAGGTCAAGGGGACAGTGGGTAAGGCCTAAGCAAGTTCCATTGTTTGGGCTTTCTCCTTTTGCTCAACACTAGATTTTTTTTTCCCCAGAAAGCATCTGTAAGACCTTCTCTGCAATCTGCTTTAGTCAACAGATGCTGCCTTAATCCAGACCAACAGCAGACAGATCCAGGCGCTACAGACAAGGCAATCAGACAACGAGCCACTTCCACACCACCCTCTGCAGCACACACCGAAGAGCAGACTAAGGAACACAGTCCCTCCAGCCTGGGTGATTTACACTGACACTTCTGAGCTATCAAACCACCACCACATGGTCAACACACAGCAAGGAACACCCAGAATCCAACAAATGGCAGCTCTGGACAGCCAAGTAGCTCTGACCACCACCATCAGACTACAACAGCTCACTTCAGCTCAGACTGTGGATCTCCATAAATAGCATCTGTGGAGATACACAAATCCAATTAATTAAGAAACACGTTAGAAGACATTTCTGAAGCCAGAATTTTAACCTAAATCCAGACAGAGACGGAAATATACGAAACCCTTGATGTTCTCTACTTTGAGAAGCTCTCGGGGTTCATACTTTGCTTGTGCACCAGTGAATCTTTGTTCAAAGAACAACGTTAATTAGAGCTTCTCCTCACACAAACAGTACTGCTGGCAAAAAGACGAATTGCCCACGTTTTTGTTAGAGACACCTTTTCATAATCAAGACTTCTCTGGCTCAGTCAGTCAAATCTACCCCTTTGGAGGACTTCTCGCTCCTGGAACAACCACCCAGGTAATAGGACAATGCATTAAGAAAGGGAAAGACAAAAGCAGCCCATGTTAATCTTACTCAATAGTTGTCTCGTCCAAAACTCCTGTCACTGGGATTCCATAAAACTGTTGCATAGTGGCAACTGCAGACTGCACAGCTTTTCCCGACTGCAAGGCAGACATTTGGCTGTCAGATGGAAGTAAGTAGCCATACGTTTTTAGCCAACCCTGAAAAAGAAAGAAACAGATGGTAAGATGCCACAGTAAGTTTTCAACTTAACAGTTCAGAACATTTCCTCAAAAGAAAAAAAAGCGACAAACTAGCCAAAAAAAAATTCAGCCATTTCTCTTTTTTTGGTTAGGTTTGGTAATATCATCTGATCCCTACAAAGGGCTGAAGACCCAGTTTAATATCACCTGTCCTGGCAGGGCAAGGCAGACCTGCCAGTTAAAAATGGTCATCATCCCTACTGAGTAACTGGGGCAAACTTTGAGGCACCAGTAATGCCCAAGAAGGTCTGTTCTTGTTCCAGGGACTTCCTGTGCACCCTGACCCCTTGCCAGCATAAGAGTTCTCAGTCCCCACAGCAGCAAGATCCCACTGCCCACAATCCACTGCTATTTGTGGACCATCCTAAATAGCAGCTTAAAAAATTCCTAAAAAACAGCTTAACAGCCCTGAGTAGTCCCTGAAAACAGAAGTTCAACTTGCAATGAGCACAGGAATTATTCTTAAAAAAAACCCTCCAACAAACAACAACAACAAAAAAAACCCCCAAACCAAAACACCACACAGAGAAAACCCAACAACAAAACAACCAACACTCACAAAGATTGCAGAGACTCTGGTTTGATGGATGTTTCCTCTACCAACAGGTGTTACCAGCAAATTGTCAGAACAGGAAAACAGCCACCTCTCCTCAAGGAGTTTTGTCCCTTTTCCCTGCCTCCCCCCTAAAACGCAGCCTTAGATAAAACCACGAGTCAAACTTGTCAAAATGCTAAGCACAGTATTTTCAAAAACACACATTAATTTGGGATTTTTTTCCCTCCCCTTTCTTCCTCTCCCTCACTTGGATAGCAGTAGAAAACGGACTATTAGTTCACCACTAAGTGCAAACGCCAATCCAACTCGAACAAAAACTTGTTCTCATAAACTTTTCACCATAACTTTTCAAGCACATCCCCCAGTGCTTTTGTCTTCCAGCCAATACCCCAGCCCTTCGATTCAATACTTAGACCAGGATTATTATGAGACCAACACAGATCCCCTAAGCTATTTCCAGCCACGAGGACAATCCATCTGACCCACAGGACAGTCCTCACCACACGAGTGCTGATGAATCACCTGCATGCACTGCTCTCCCGCTGGCAGCCTGATCAGTCAGAACAGGGGGAAGAGGAGAGGTTTGTCTTCCCTCAACACAGCAGTAGGAGGGGGCTCAGGTCAGGAAGAGCAAAAGTTGGAGAACAAAACGGCCTTGCTTCCAAAGCAGGAGAAAACCATAGAATGGGTTGGAAGGGATCTTAAAGCCCATCCAGTGCCACCCCCTGGCATAGGCAGGGACATCTTTCACTAGCCCAGGTTGCTCCAAGGCCCGTCCAAGCTGGCCTTGGACACTTCCAGGGATGGGGCAGCCACAGCTTCTCTGGGCAACCTGTGCCAGGGCCTGCCCACCCTCACAGGGAAGAATTTCTTCCTAATACCCAATCTAAACCTACTCTATTTTCAGCTTAAAGCCATTCCCCCTTGTCCTGTACCTCCACCCCTTGTCCCAAGTCCCTCTCCAGCTCTCCTGGAGCCCCTTTAGGCACTGGAAGGGGCTCTCAGGTCTCCCTGGAGCCTTCTCTTCTCCAAGTGATCACCCCCAGCTCTCCCAGTCTGTCTCCAGAGCAGAGGGGCTCCAGCCTTGGAGCATCTCCGTGGTCCCCTCTGGACTCGCTCCAGCAGGTGCCCACCTTTCTCGTGCTGGGGGCTCCAGAGCTGGATGCAGTGCCCCAGGAGGGGAGGGGAAGGGAAGTGGGGCCACAGCCCCTGGGCTGGGCATGGCGAAGTTCACCGAGTAAATGGACAAACAGCGCTATTCAACACGGACACTACCGAGGGCTCAAGACAAAGCCAAGGGGCAAAATTGCTCCTACACCGGACATTTGCTACCCCTGCCTCGGCCTCTGACAAACACAACAAACAACACGCTGCAACACTTCGGTCCGACCCAAATCAGCTGCCCTTGGGACAGCGAGGGCAGAGCCCAGCGACCAAAACAGCTCCGAGGGGGCTCCGCTCTGACATCCCCCTTCCCTGCCCGCCGCACTCGGAGGGGAACGGGGCACCCCCCACACGGTGCCCTCTCGGACACCCCGAGGAGCTCCCGGCGGACCCCGAGGCTCAGGCTCACCCAGGAGGGGCACGGCCGCTGGTCCGGCCGCTTCCCGAAGGAGCCGCGCCCGCACCCCCGAGCGCAGCCCAGCCCAGCCCAGCCCAGCCCTGCCCAGCCCAGCCCAGCCCGGCCCGGCCCGGCGGGAGATGTTGGAAGGCTCCCGGCGAGCTCCAGCGCCCCGGCACGGAGCCGCTGCCCGCCCGGCTTCCCTGCGCACCCCCCGGACACCCCCGCCCGGCCCGGCCCGGCCCGGCCCCGCTGCCGCACCTACCCGGCCGGTGCTGGTGTCGGCGGCGGCGCGGAGCAGCGCGCACAGCAGCGGGAGCAGCGAGCCCGCCGCGCCCAGCGCCCGCCGCGGGCTGCGCGCCATGGCCCCGCCGGGCCCCACAGCCACCCCGGCGGGCCCCACAGCCACCCCGGCGGGCCCCACAGCCACCCCGGCGGGGCTGGAACCCGCGGCGGCCCCGGCGGCGCTCGGCCGGGCTCGGCAGCGCTCCGGCCCCCGGCGCCGCGGCTGCGGCTGCGCGGCTGCCCGGAAGGGGAAGGGGAATGGGAATGGGAAGGAGAAGGGGAAAGGGAAAGGGAAAGGGAAGGGGAAAGGGAAGAAGGCGGGCGGTCGGATCCGCCGCTTCCTCCGCCGCCCGGGCCGGGGCTGCCCCGAGGCGTCGCCGTGCCCGGCCAGCGTGTGGGAGAACGGGGAAGAGATTAAAATGTTCTTAAGGAAGGCTTTTCTTTGGTGTTTGACCTTTGTGAGCGGAGAGAAAGGAATGCCAGCTGCTGGGAGCCTGCAGCAGGGCGGCTGGAGGGACACTCAGCCCTGGGGCACGGGGAAGGAGGGACATATGCAGGAATTTATTGGCTCCAACCTCTGGAAGGTCTTTCCACCTGAACCGTGTGGATCAGAGGCAGTGGGCAGCAGATCAGGCTAAGCCTCGATCTCACCCACTCTCTCTCTCCAAACCTGTTTTCCCAGGACATTTCCAGCCCTT